AGGGGAAGACTCCAACTCCTCTCCCTGAGCAGCAGCAGAAACAACAACTGCCCGTGACCCCCGTTCCCATCTCCTGCACTGCTGGGGGAGGAGGTTGAGTTTTGAAGGAAGGAGGGGTGGGGGGAGGATGTTTTTAGGATTATTTTACTTCTCACTCTTTTGCTCTGATCCTGTCTGTAATAAATTCCATTAATATCCCCACTCTGAGTCTGCTTTGCCCGTGATGGTGATCAGTCAGTGACCTCTCCCAGCTCTTATCTCAACTCCTGAGTCCTTCCCTGTTGGTTTTTCTCTCTCCTCTGTCCAGCTGCAGAGGGAGAATGAGAGAGTGGCTGTAGTGGGTACCTGGCATCTGGCCAGGGTCAACCCACTAACTTAGTAATCATTTTTCCTCCAAAGCTGAGTTTATGTTGGTGTGGAGAACATTTCACTTGCTTTTTTTGTCTACCTGCTGTCCAAGCTCCTGAGTGTCATGTTCCTCCTTTTGGTTGATCCCAAGGCAGGAGAAGCACTTCCAATTCCTGATAACACTTCTCTTTCTGTCTTAATGCCCCTGAATCCCCGTGAATCCTGATTCCACAACTCAGAGTGGATTTGGAAGTGGAAAACTGACACATCAGAGGGTGGGAATTATTCCTGGTGACAGAAATCTGAGCTCGTTTGTGTTTCACAGCTTGTTGGACAAATCAAATCTTCAGTGGGCACAGCTGAGGAAATGAAATAATCCTAATCCTGCCTCTGTGGGTTGGGATTTTCTCCCTGTGGATTTCAGCAGCTTCATTCCTGCCATGGGGAATAACCCACACATAATAGGAGTTTTGTCCCCTCCAAATGGAGGGAATGGCCCAAAATTCCCCTTCTAAACCCCCTGTCTGGAGGCAGAGGTGTCACCCCTCGAGGAGCTGCAGGGAAGGTGCTCAACACACCAACAAAGCCCTGGAAAGCAGGTTGGAAGTGAACAGCTTTGCCCTAAAGTCCTGGATCTCTTCCAGTTTGGACTTCCAAGGTAATTTTTCCCTTTGCTTACAACTCCCTTGTGGAAGGAAACAAAGCTGTTTTCTCTTGGCATCATCACAGGTAAAATCAACTCAACAGTGGAGATCTTGCTCCACCAGAGGTGGGATCTCAGCCCCCAGAATAATCCCCTTGTCATCCCAGGAGGAAAGACCAGCATGTTGGGAAGGATTCAGCCACGGAAAACAGGGAAATTGGCTGTTTTACACACAACTGAAATAGGAAATGAGGGTATTTTACACACAACTTAAATCCACCCTCTCCCCACTCCCTCTCCACCAATTCCTGGCTGAGCTGAGAATACGGAGAAGCAACACCAGGCAGGATTTAAATCCAGAAAGGGCTTTAAAACCACACAGAGTCATGGTGAGGATTCAGGATACACCTGTTTTCCTCCCTGAGACCCTCCAGCCCACCCCAAGGGTCTCACCGTCTTCAGCAGTGTCCGGTTGTCCCGGAGGCTCCCCACCATTCCCACAAAGGACACCACGAACATGGTGACTCCCAGCAGAAGCAGGATCACAGCTGGAGCCAGGAAAATCCCTTCCAGGGTCTTGTGCTTCTGCCTCTCCACCTCAGCATAAATCCCAATGCACAGGATCACCAGGCCCAGGATCTGCACAGGAGGCACAGAACGGGATTCACTCCCAGTGGGAAAAAAGAAAAGGTTTGATGGGAGAGGTGAAGGTGGGAGATGTCCAAGGACAACCTAGAGAGCTTTAGGATGTTCAGCATCCAATCCCAAACCCACAGAGCTTTGGGATGTTCAACATCCAATCCCCGCTCGCCCTCTTCCCACACCCCAGCCCCCAATAAACCCGAGCTCAGAGCAAAACCCCCAATAAACCCGGTCTCAGAGCAGTGCCCCCAATTAAACCTGAGCTCATTGTACCACCCCCAATAAACCTGAGCTCAGTGTACCACCCACAACTAAACCCGAGCTCAGTGGACCGCCCCCAATTAAACCTGAGCTCAGAGCACCACCCCCAATTAAACCCGAGCTCAGAGCACCGCCCCCAATTAAACCTGAGCTCATTGTACCACCCCCAATTAAACCCGAGCTCAGAGCACCGCCCCCAGTTAAACCCGAGCTCAGTTCGCCATCACAGAGCGCTTTTGATCCCTGGATGAAAAGCACCACAAAAATCCCGATGGATTATTTCTGACAGCCTCCCTCCCCCTCCAACGAACCAGCCCTAATTGACAAGGAGAGTCTAACGACGCCGGGTTAAAACCGGGCTCCAAAAGTGCTCTGTGCGTCCCCTCAGCTCGTTCAGCATCACAGCCCGCGCCGTTATCCCGTTATCCCGAGGGATTGGCGCTGTCAGGAGCTGTTCCATCGCCCCGGGCGAGCGGCTGCTCAGCTGGCCCCGAGCTGACACCTCACAAGGGCAGAGAGGAAACCGAGGAGCTCCCAGAGCCTTTTTCATCCTCCTTTTCCAGCCCTTTCCCATCCCAGATCACAGCGAGAGAATCCTGGGGGAAACCTGCCTGGCCCCAGACAAAAACCTGCATCTGCAAACAGGAGAAAAATACTCCTTTCTGTTCCTTTTTCACTCCTTTCCCCCTTCTTTTCCCCCTCCTTTTCCACTCATTTTCCCCCTCCTTTTCCTCCTCCTTCTCCCCTTTCCCCCTCTTTTTCCATTTCCTTTTCCCCTCCCTTTTCCCCTTCCTTTCTCACTACTTTCCCCACTCCTTTCCACTCTCTTCCCCTTCCATTTCCCACTCCTTTTTCCCTCTCCCCCCTTCTTTTCCATTCTCTTTTCCTCTTCCTTCCTCACTACTTTTCCCACTCCTTTCCACTCCCTTCCCTTCCTTTCCCACTCCTTCTTCACTCTTTCCCCCCTCCTTTTCCCCTCTCCTTTCCCCCTTCCTTTTCCCCCTCCTTTTCCATTCCCTTTTCTCTTCCCTTTTCTATTCCCTTTTCCATTCCCTTTTCCCTTTCCTTTCTCACTGCTTTTCCCACTCCTTTTCTACTCCCTTCCCTTCCTTTTCCCCCTGCTTTTTCACTCTTTTCCCCCTCCTTTTCCATTTTTTCCACTCCTTTTCCATCACTTTCACCTTCATTGCTCCTAATGAGTTTCCACAAACTCTTCCTGCTAATTCACACCAACAATTCGATCCTTAATTTTCATGTACAACTCTTGGTTTTTTTGGGGGGTTGAGTTTTTCCTTCTCCACCTGGCCACTATTTCTGGTGTGTTTTTTTCACTATTTCATGTCATCAATCACTGTTTGTTCCAGGCTCCATCTCAGTTATAAAGCAACCAAAATCTCTCAAAACCTGACATTTAGACCTGTGATATTTTACAGACACTTTGATTATTTGAAACTAAACAGGCAAAAACTGAACAGGCAGCAACTAAACAGACAAGGTTCATTAATGATAACAGGCTTTTAATCACAGTTTCATCTTTAGACTCTATTTTAAGCCTCGCTTTGGTGTGTTGGGATTAGGTTTGATTTCATGTTTATCCCTTTTACCATGTCCCAGGAAATACATTTGGCTCTGGAGGTGGGGGGATCCATTAATACCCACCATGCATCCCCCATTAATCCCAAACATTCCTCCACGTGCCAATCAGAGCCACTTTCCCTGCTTTAATTAATCCACCTGTGAGCAGAGGGAGGGAAGGGCACGGAGCAAACCCAGGAGGGGGTTCAAGGGCTGGAGCCTTGAGAGGCTGAGGAAGGAGCTTGTTTGGGATGAGGAAGGAGCCTGTTTGAGATGGGCTTCCCCTGCCAGCAGGGGAGGGAAACCCAGAAGGGTTTTCCTTGTCCATTGCTTCAAAATTGCTTTTGCAGGGCTGAAAAGCATCTTTGGGAAATGGAAAGCCTGTGGAATGTGTGAGGCTGCTGCACATCCCTGCACATCTCTGGGGCCTGCTGGGATTCAGCCAAGGATCCACAAGGAGCTGCTGATGTCATGGCAAAAGCTCTCTCAGTGATTTTTGAGGGATCTCGGGAATCCAGAAAGGTCCCAGCTGACTGGAAGCTGGGGAATGTTCTCCTGATTTTCAAGAAGGACAAGAAGGAGGACCCTGGAAACTCCAGGCCTGTGAGTGTCGCTTCAATGCCTTGGAAAGTTGTGGAGAAGATTATTCTGGGAGGGCTTGGAAAACACTTGGAAGACACCTCAGTCCCTGGTCACAGCCAGCACAGCTTCAGGACAAGAAAGTCCTGCTAATCCAACGTGATTTCCTTCAGCTCTCCCAGGTCCCCAGTTCCTCACCCAGCTCTCCCCTTGCTGTCAGAGAAATGCCTGGAGAGGAAAAGCAGCATCTTTGTTATCCTGCTAAGAGACAAAGTTGGAGCAAAACAGCTTTGGGAAAGGGCTGCAAAGGTGGGGAAGGGCTCCAGTAGCTCCTCAGTGCAGTTCCAGCTGCCTGGGCAGGGGCAGAGGAGGGGCAGGGACTGAGCTCTGCTCTGGGGGGACCAGGGACAGCAGCCAGGGAAGGGCTGGAGCTGTGTCAGGGCAGGCTCAGGTTGGATCCCAGGCAAAGGTTCTTCCCCCAGAGGCTGGTTGGGCACTGCCCAGGCTCCCCAGGGCAGTGGGCACAGCCCATCTCCACACCTCACCAGCTAAAAAAACACATACCAATTAAAAAAATAAGGAGTTGTTTCTACTGAAAGCAGCTTCAGGCACAAAAAAAGCCTCCTGCAAAGCAACTCACACCTCGAGGCAGGGAATAGATATCCTGGGAATTCTCTCAGCAAGGCAGATTGCAAAGGAAGGCAGAATATAATGAGTCTTGGAAGGATGAGCAGGGAATAACATTGCAGGATGGGCAGCAGAGGGATTTGGATGGGGAGAAAGAGAAGTGTTCCCTGAAAAGCAGCGTTTCTGTGAGGAAAAAATAGCTGGACTTGGAGCAAACCAGCAGCATCAAAGCCTTTGCCAGGACCTGTGGTGCTACAAAGGGAATAATTAATCCTTTACTTCTCCAAAATCTGATCATCCCAACCATCTTTGGCAGGATTTGAGCATGGAAAAGTCTCCCCCCATCTCCTAGCAAAGCCTGGGTGTCCTGGTTTTCATCACTGGGATTCTCGGGGGGGTGGGGGGATGTTTTTGCCACGAATTCCTTCAGCACAGATATTTTGGAGTCCTGGCATCACAACCCTTTTCCTCCCCCCTCCACACTCGATGACAGAAGGAAGTTTGCTGCTAAATCCTCTGTAGTTAAACGTTAATTACCCGCTGATCACCTAAATAGGGTGGAAATGCCAGGAGAGAAAGCTGGGAATTGCCACTGGTCCGAGAGAGAAAAAGGAAATCTGCATTTTCCCTCTAACAAGAGAGTGATTATCCCATTTCTGCATTAGAACAGCCCTGGGATGGAACAATCATCACCGCGGCGTCCTGCACCAATTCTCTTTATAAACCGGGTTTTAAACTTGGACTTTAATTCCAGCCCTGTGTGATTTTAGTGCTTCCTGGAGCTGAGAGTGGGCAGGGGATGGAGAAGGTGCCCCAGGATGTCCAGGCTCCCCTCCCACCCCACAAACGACCCCCTGGGAGGTGCTCCCACCCCTCCCTATCATGTTCCTGGGCATCTAAAATTACAAACTTGAATTTCTCAGCTTGCTGTGACAGACCCTTCCCCACAGGCAGAATTTTAACAGCTCCAAACCCTCAGCTGAACCTTTTCCAGGGGAGCTGGGAAGACCTGCCAGGCTGGGATGAGGCTTTTGTGCAGCTCCCTCTGACACCAAGAAGCAAAACAACTGTCAGAGCAGAAACAGGGAAGTTCAGCCCTTGGGAGGTTGTTACAAACCTGCCAATTTAAGGAGCTTTTCTCCAGCTGCTGAGGAGCTACTGGAGCCCTTCCCCACCTTTGCAACCCTTTCCCAAAGCTGTTTTGCTCCAACTTTGTCTCTTAGCAGGATAACAAAGATGCTGGTTTTTCCTCTCCAGGCATTTATCTGACAGCAAGGGAAGAGCTGGATGAAGAACTGGGGATCTGGGAGAGCTAAAGGTGGGAATTCTTGGTGGAAATCACTGTCCCACTGGTGCCAGAGTCATTTAAAGACCTGAGAGTGGGATGAAAGGCAATTAATGGGCAGAAAATAACTCAACACACAGCTCTGCTGCTGCTGGCAGGGTTTGGGTGGTGCCAGAGGGGTGGGTTGAGCTCACAGCCCACCCAGGGGTGAGTCAGGGAGTTTGGGAAGCTCTCCTGGAG